AAAAGGGGGTCTTTTGCAAGAAGTTTTTTGGGCCCAAACCCAAAAAGGGGGTTTTGTTTTGGGGGGGGGGGGGTGTTAAAACTATTTTGTTGGGGAAAAAAAAAAAACCCCGATGCCCTGTATTTCTGCAATATCCCCACAGCAGAAATAAAAATTGTCCTTTTTCTCAGTTAGGTCTAAAAGATAAAAACTATGGATTAAAACACAACCTGAAACAGATGATAAATCACTTATGTGCTGTTAGTAGGTACTCGGATACGATGATTACAAGTGCTGAATAAAATGCCTGAACAGAACAGAATAGAAGATAATACAGAAGGGATGAGCTCCACGGTGCTACAGTCATCTGAGTGGAGACTACACACCCCTGTCAGCAGGGTGAAAGCAAGAGAGCTGGGCTAGACCGCTGGTAACCCACGACAATTTCATGCCAAATACACAGCCCTGTAATTTGAAATTCCCACAATGAAGAACACACATATAGTATTTCCAAAGCAAGTTACAGAGGCACCCTGGAAATTCCAGGGCCGTATACAAGGGGACTGTATCTTACAACGTTATTCCAAAACTTGAACTAATACGGACAGCAGTGTACTTGGCTGGTTTTTCGGAAGCACACCACATTTATGTTCTGCTGCCTTTCTTCATGGCCAGCTGGCTTTGAGATGGGATCAGAAGCATTAGCCCCACCCAAAAGAACCTAAATCTGATCAAACTGCCACAGTGGTAATCAGCCATGGTGCTCCTCTGAGGGTTGGCGTAGCAGAGAGTGAATGAGATTTGAAATGCCCCTTCTTTTCCTGAGCTCTGAGAAGAATTCAAAATTGTTTTAGCTGTAAGGCTTGGGCTAAAGAGACAGAGAAGCGCTACACTAACTCACCCTAGTAGAGAATTACAATGTCTGTCTTGAAATCTGATACACCATAGCACAGTTTCCTTCTCCCCTTTGGTTTATATCGATAATCTGTGCCTAAAACAAAAAATGGATAAATGAAGAATTGGGAAGAGAAAGGACATTAAGCATGCATTATAGCAGTGGATGCTACCTACATCCAAAAAATAGGAGTTGTTTGGTATTTTTATTAAAATCACCATAATTTCTTTACTGGTTTTTTTTGAGTCATTATGAACTAAGAAAGGAGTTCTAAATTATGTGTTCACCTGAGTAACTGGCAGTAAGGCCTGTTTTGGAAGCAGTATCTGTTTCTTGCTAATTACTGCAATACCCCCCTTGCCAGCACCCATAGCATGTGTAACCTGATAGTTTAGTAATCTATACAATGCTCTCTCTCCTTCTTCTTAGTTTAGTGCATGATATGCAAGTTTACTTTCACATAGGGACAGCTGGTCTACATTCACAGACCGAAGAAAACTGTGCATGGGAACTATGTGGCTAAAGCCTGCTGGAAGCATAAAGAATAACCAGAGCAGCTAGGAGCAAAGAAGACAGAGAAAATGGGATACAGAAACACCTGATTTGCTACCTATGACAAGCCTTTATTAGGCTCCTTTAAGCTTAACACCCTGCTGCTGGCTGCAGCCAGCACATACGTGAAGGAAAAGGAAGCTCTCTCCTTCTTCTGTGTGCCTCGCTAACTGTCCTTTGCAGTGGAAAGACATTTTTCCTCATTTTTATGGTGAATATCTTGTTCGGGGAATGCTAAGACTGAGTCTATCTTCCATCAGCTTATGTAACTTTGTACTAATGGTTGTAAAAATGACACAGCCACAGCACTTGTTCTGTTCTCCTCTGTGAGATGATCCGCGTACATCATACACATCTGTTCCCGCATTTACTTGCTCAAATAATCCCATTAATACAGTGCAGAATAGTCCCTCAGACATTATCTCAGTAACTCTTCTATGTTCAGGCTTCGTGCCATTTTTCTTTTGTCCTCTGCACTCCTACTGTTTAATTACTGCCTCTTCACGCACCTGTGAAGCCATAGCCTGAATCGTACTCCTGTTGATGCTACTGGCCACATCCACGCTGTTGATGGGATCATAATGGTTTTTGTCCTTTGTTGTACTGTCAGGGCAATTTTTTTTTTTTTTTTTTTTTTAAGAACTTCATTCAGATAAACAAAACTTATTCTGCTTTCACTGTCTGGCTTTGATGTGACAAACCTTGAGCTTGAGGTCTCTCCATGTGCTGAGCCAAAGTGACTGGAGCATGCAAGGCTGATTTTTGCAGCTTTCCACTCTTGGTTCCGCAGTCAGAAGAATATATTGCAACAGGTTCATGCAACAAACTGACCCGGTTTTGTTTCTCTTCAGATCTGCACTGACCTCTTTAGGATGAGACATCATGTTTAATCTAAGTGACTCACTCCTGTAGCTAGCTAAATTCAAACTCTCTTCTTTAAAGCCTGCAATCTAAACAATACATTTTATTGTCACAGCTACATGGACATTAGTTAAAACAACTTTACATTCTGAAAATAGTTACATGATGTTGCTGTTTTATGTGGTTTTGGCAAGGACGCTGCACTTTCTCTCTTTAAGCACTGCCACCTCTTGCTCCCAAACACGGCTGCTGCACTAATGATTAGCAGGTCAGGCCAGTATGGCTGCAGAGGAGTTTACAGAAAGCCATTCCTAGACGCTGGCGGGGAAACAGATTCCTAATAAGGCAGCCAAAGCTACCCTGTGCGATGGGATGATACCCAGACCTTCATGAAGCACCTACAGAATCCTCTGCGAAACACAGCTCAGTTCTGTGAAAGCTCTTGATGTATTTCATGCTCCTCCTGCCTGCGGACTCCCCTTTATATTTGACTCCCTGAAGCCTCTAGATGCAGACATTCACACTGTGGGCCTGTCCCCCCAGAACAACCCAAGCTACTCACACACTGCGAGAGGACAAGCTATTGTCCCAACCCAGCATACAAGGACCAAGGAGAATCTAAGTCCTCCTCCCTAAATAGAAGCAGCAAGGGGCAAGGAAGGTCATCACCGGCTCCCACCCTTCCAGTTCCTCTGCCCAGTTTGGGTCTCGGTGCCAAGCTTGCTCAGAAGTCCAGCACCCTTAAAAAGAAGGAATTTACTCTCTCTCCAGCTCCTCTCCTATAAATATTATGTTTTGCTGCGGTGCTTTTAACGATCTGCAGTAATTTTCTGTGCTTCCCACCCAGATCTCAAAGCACCTGAAAAACTCTTTCCTTTGTCTTTTGTGGTGAGTTAAAGGAAAAACAGAGGGACGGAGAAACTACATGTCTTCAAATCCAACCCTGTGCTCAAAAATCTAGACCCTGACTCTGTCCATGATAAAAAAAGCAACCAGCCAGTGAGAGAACAGCACATCATTCTGAAAGACTGCACTATTCAAACATCATCCATTGACACCTTCTTTAAATGACCTTTAAATAAAGTACACACAGCCAATCAAAATAGCTTGTCAGTGATGCACTGAGAGTCTCTCCCTGTCTACAAAACCAGGCTCAATCACTTTTCTCTGTATTGCTCACAATTTCCTGTTACCTTGAAGAGTGAAACGCTTGAAAAATGAAAATTCAAAAATAAAAAAAAAATAATAAAAAAAAAAAAAAATCGCACAAGACAAGACAGTTCCCACTCTTTAATCAGTAAAAAAAGCTAGAGCAGAAGATAAGATTTCTGGCATGTTGGGGAGTGAAATTTAGACTGCATGCCACATATCAGTGTTAGATATTCCCTGTCATTTTTCAGATATTCAGGCAAATGTTCTTCACATGCACAGGTAGGTTGGTACATACTTACTGATTCTTGGACATGCCCATAATTGTGATAATCAAGTTAGATAAGTTACCATGGAAAGCCTTTGCAAAATGCATAACATATTTCTATCATTAAAGAGGACTTACCTTTAAGGACTCCCAGAGGGGAAATTGTACCAGAGAGAAAGGAATCTGGAGAGGTGGGAAAAGAGAAAAAAAACAACATAATGTTACAAAAGCAAATTAGGTTGGCATGTTCCTCAACTGGCTAAATTAGGAACAGTTATTGTTCACTCAGTGAACTGCAGCTTATTACATTTACAAATCTTTACGGACACTTTATGTACGCTGCCATTAAATGACTGGTTTCGCTAAAGCAGTTTTACTTTGTTTATCACATTCCCTGCTGAGAGGTTAATGTATTGTTACTAGGGTGGCCTAGAAGAGCAGTAAGCAGTATGATCTAGTGCAGGGACATTCTTGGTTTGACGGTCAGCCAAGAAAGCCATAAGGATGGTTCAAGAAACACATTCCCAAGGCCAGGAACACAGCTTGGCAAAAAAACATCTTCAGCAATACACACTCACAAACGCTGAGCTGAAAACAGTTGTGCTCCAACACCAGTTGGGCATCAGCTGCAAAAACGTTCCTGAACATCTCCCAGTGATCCCACATTAACAAGCTCCCTTGAGAATTAAAAGCAGGTTGTGAAGAGCTACCACAACCCAACTAAAACCCAAAGGAGAAGCTTGGTAGTTCTCTTCTCATCACCTATAACGAGAGGTTCTTCTGTCCAGGAACAGCCTGTATCTCTGCCTAGGCTCGTTCCTGCTGCCATGTGTCCCCAGCAGTGCCTGTGCATCTTCAGCTCCTTTACACATTTTGCCCTGATAAATGCATCCTGACCAACTCTCTTAACACACCGGGGGGGGGGGGGGGGGGGAGCAGAGCT